CGGGCGAGAGGGCGCTGCGGTCTCCGCCGTCCTGGGAGGCGGGATTGGCGGGGTGCAGACTCCGGGCCCGGCGGAGCGGGGCCGGGTACCTGAGGCCGGGTGGCACCGGGTGGAGCAGGGTTGCGCTAAGGTGCGGGTTAGTAAACGCGGAAGTGCAAAGCGAGGAGCAAAAATAAACCGGGAGAAGCCTGGCCTAAATGCTAATCCCGTCGCCAACATGTTTGGGAATAAAATTGTTCTGAAGCGTCTAATCTCGTTTACACTGCTGCTCCGCTTCAGGGCTCGTTATTTTTAACCCCAGCGGAAGGAGGTTCCCTGGGTCGCAAGTAGCTGGAGAGCGTTGACCCTGGGAGCAGATCGTGGCATGAACAGTCCTGTGTGTTCTGCGCAGAAAACATCCGTGATGTTAATTGAGGTTGGCACGTCAGTCGCTGCAGTTTCAAGAAAGGCTGACACCCAGATGGCATTAACAACATCCTCCCCAGCAAGGATTTCGAGAGGATCCCTGCTTTGCCACCTTTTTCAAAGACTTTGAAAGTGTTACACAAATCTCCCCCAGCTGCTAAACAGAGGGTTTGGCCAGGCTGATGTGCAACTTGCTGGACACAAGACCACACATACCTTGTCCCACTGCTCAGCGGGGCAAATTGCCCAGTCCACCTTGCCCGCCATGGTCCTGCATTCTCTCATGAAAAAGATTCCAGGCTTTTCTTGCCAGGTGCTTCACTTGCTCTTTGGCTCTGTGTGTTCAGGGTATGGTGTTTAAATGTTCAGAACAGTGATAGATCAAAGCAGGAGCCTTTGATATTTATTTATTTATTTGTTGATATTTTCTCCCCCCTCTCTGCTGTATTTAAGTATTTTGTTTTCACAAAAGCTCAGGCAGGACAGCAGATTCTTCGAGGCATGCACTGTTGGTTGCTCTGCATCAGTATGACAAATAAGCACAGTCCTGGTAAAATGAATAATCAGGTCATAATTTAAGTACTACTTCCTCCCCCCCAATTGGCACCATGTTTATTCTTTATCCTTTTCAGGTGTATCAGATCAAGTTTTCTTAAATTTTATAAAATAACACAAACCTCAACCTTACTAACCATGGATTTCAGGCTTTAAAAATGAAAGTACTGCAAAGCACGAGCAACTGAAATTCTCAAACCATCTCAGCTGTAGTTATCTGTTAAGGTGCGGTGTGATGCAATGCTTGTCTTACAACCATCTCAACCATTTCGTAATACTCATGCATTCTAACAATAAGCTGTATTTTCTCTGTTCACTTTCATCCCAACAGGAGCTACAGCCAAAAGAATTCTCAAATGATCAATTGTCACAAAAGGGATCAATCCAGAAAACAGGCAGAAGGAGTCATATTAAACTATAGTGAATGTGACCTGAAACTTAGACAGGGACAATTTCAGTATAACATTGTGACAATTCCCAGCAAGATTGGTGCAGTGATAAATACAATTTGTTCCTCATAATCCATGTTATTGTTAATTAACATGATTCTTTGGGGTTACATTGTACTTTGATTACTTTTTCTTAAATGAGGATGCACAGAAAAACATCACATTGCAGAGTTAGGATTCAAACAAAAACAGAACAAGCCCCAAATTACTTCTATCAAACGCTTCCATATTCATATAAGGTAAACTTGCCTCTATGATGACTAAAATGTTTTAGGATGAAAATATGTTCTGATTATCATCTTCAGGGCATTTTCAGTGACGTTTTATGGCAGTGGTTTAAAATAAAAATCTTAGTCATTCAACATTTTAACTGAAAGCTACATATTATGCAAGCAGTTTATTAAACCCACTGAAGGTACCTGCCTAGTGGTAATGCAACAATAAATAATAATAGCATTTAAAGATATTTTTATCATTAGTACTGTCAGATCTGATTGAAATGTTATGAGCATTAAGATTAAGTATATGAAGGCAATAAAATGTTAGATGAAGCACACTCAAGAGAGTTGTATTTCCCCAGTGTAGCTGGGGGCAGAGACTTGTAATGTTGACAGCTATAGCCAGCTCATTGCATGGCAGCAGTCTGAGGGTGGCGTTTGGCGGCTTGGGAGCCAGGCAGGAGATTTTGCAGTGCAGCAGTTAAATAAACAACTAAAACACAAACGACACCCTATGAATTTTTAGTAGTACCTCTCTCAGCACACACCAGCTGAAGAACTCTAAAAGACAATGAAAACTACGTGGTACATGGTTATTTTTGTGTTTTCATGCATGTATGCGCTCACTTTTCCTCTCTCTGTCTGAACCACATTGTCTGTTAGTTGCTGAGGGATGCAGGAGTGGACTCAGTTAACCACACTACCATTTGATGCTTTGTCAGAGACCAGATCTACAACCCAAGCCTCACCAGGAGGTCACTTATCCTTCAACTTCCAGAAGTTTTTATAGTATCTAGACAGAAAGAAGAGCCTGTTCCTGTTAACCATGATCCCCTCATTCATCTAGTCACTGGCAGAGTTAACTTTTGAACCTTGAAATGTTTATTTCTGGGTGGGGTTTGTTTCATTTTGTTCTAGTTTGACACCTCCCTGGCTGTGAATGAGACCTCTTCAGCCCAGCTCAAAGCTTCTTCATCACAAAAAGCCTATTTTGCTGGTTTTAGGACCATATACCTTTTGCTCATTCTTAGCATGTGTAGAGGTCTGAATAGATTTCCAGGGGTGTTTATAACCCGAGCTTGTCTTGGCCAGAGATGCAGACACGGAGGACAAGAGTCTTGCATGGAGGGTGGAGATTAAGAGTTCAGTGTTGCTTTGCCCAATTCCTTATGTCTCTCCCTGTAATAGAAGCCCTGGCCCTGTAATTAGGCAGACAGGCTATCTACATAATGTAATGGGAGAGAGAAGTACCAAAAAGGCAGGTATCTATGACATTTTGAAACCAGGCCAAGTGGGCCACTGTGAGACACTTCACAGCCTGGGATACTGAGGCAGCGATGCAGATGCATCCTCAGGAGGCTAAGTACTGAAGAAATTTCTTCTTGCATTAGGCATCAAGGATGGGAAAGTTTTTTCCTTATATAGGTGCTTTCTTCCTCTAAAGATGCAGGTTCATGCCTCTTTTCTTGATTTGGAGCAAAATTCAATAGGAGCCTGTCTTCCCATGAGAACATAGACCCTAAAATAGGAAAGGTTTGTCTGCTTCTTTGGTCAGACCTTTCCCACATTCTATCAATTAATATTTATGAAAGCAGGGACTCCAGCCTTGGTTTTCCACATCACGCTGATGACCTGAATCAAAGTGGAAGAGACACCCTCTGTCTCTGCACCATTTAACATCAGGTGAGTGAAATACACTCTGGGATTGCCTGCTGTACAAGACCAGGGAGCAGGAAACATGCTGGCATCAGGATTTTGGTTGAGAGGCCAACTCAATTCGAAATGCAAGAGCTTGGAAAAATGTAGTGGAGACAGGTTTCTCCACTGACAGGTCACACACTTAGGCATGAATTTTTATGTTCTTGACTGTCACCTTTGACTGAACCAGCAGATGCCTGTGATTCGGCTAGGTAGTTATTCAGCTTTCATGTCAGAAGTTAGATGTTCCCATTTTAGCTAGTTATTTCTCTTAATAATCACTTTCAGGGGGTCTTCAGAGAGAACAAACTGCACTCTGGAACCGCTCAGTTCCCTTCACTGTCTCTAAATGGTGCCTACTGTAACCAGTCTTTACTTTTACCTTACAGTCTGTGATTCCCAGCTCTAGGTTCATCTGTAAATCTCTCTCAAATTTCCTTTTAGTTTCAGTAAAAGTGAGAATTAACAGTCTGTCTGTGTTGGTTTGTGTGAATGATCTATTTGAAAGTAGAAATACACAAATCATCCTAGACCAAACTGGCCATAAAGTTTTGCCTTTGGTACAAAACTGGTTAGTGCAGGGTGCCTCAAAGGGAGAAGAAAAGTTCTCTATAAAGCATTTTATTTGTTTTATGTAAAGAACAAACAATTTATGGAAGTGGCATTTAACTGATTATTCTATGTCCAGTTATTCACATCTAAAATAATATCTGAAGTTGGAGAAATAAAACACTGAATGACTCCATTTAGGAAATCCTTTTGACTCAAGTGCTTTCCTTGTAACAGCAAATAACTGTATGACCTCAAGCACATATTTAATTGTGCTTTGTAATGAAGTAATGTCATTAGCAATTACTTAGGAATGACACTTTAAAATACTTAACAGGTACTACAGGCATGCATTTATTCAAGAGGTTTTGTTTTCTTTTGATTTATTGTGGTATAAACTAATTTCCCTTCTGAATCTAACTCATACGGGAGTTCTCCAAATAGTTCCTCAGGGTGTGCAGAAGTGAACAGTTTTGTTTGACAGCAGATCGCTAATGGCTGAAGGGTTCTCCTTTCTTAGAGCATAAAACTAAGCTTGCAGGAGGGCACTGCAAGACACACATTTAGCCAGGCTCACAGTGTATATGCCAAGCACATAGGCTAGTGCTTTAACTTTTTTTTTTTTTTTTCCTAATTTTTAAAAAATTTTTCCACCAGGTACTGCCTTTGCTAGTGGCAGTTTTAACGGCACTAACCTGTGTATCACATCACAGTGGTTTACATTCTGCTGGCAACAGAAGTATAGCATCAGTGGACAGCTCTATCTTAATAAACATGAAGAGAACAGAAGGCTATGTGTGTATATACATTTCTTATAATTATGTGTTAATTTGAAAGCATTCAAATAAAAAGTGGACTGTATGAAAGAGGCAAAAAAGAGAAGCAGACTAAATTTTAAAAGTGGTAGTGAGACTGTGAATGCATAACAGTACTGATATGCCCTTAAATTTGGTGGCAGTGATTAGATTAATAACTTAGTTTACTAGTTGGAATCTAGATTCATATGGTTCTGTTACCTTACCTGAGGAAAACAGCAACTCCTATTCAAAAGCCTTGATCCATTGTGCAGGAATATCATGCTATTGGCATGGGGACAACAATGTACTTACGTTATTTCTTTCTTAATACCAAGGAGTTCAGTAGAGCCCAAAGTGTGTTCACGTGTTTTGCACGTGTTTCTCTCTGCTGTTGCCTGCTGTTTGGGGACAGCCTGTATCATGCTATACTGGGTACATACATCACATCAGATGAGGCTGCTGAGAAAATGCTATCATCTCTTTAGTGCTGCCCATTTTGATTTGCTTGGAAGGGCTTACTAGGCACTAACTGTGGGTTTACCTGGGGA